ACCTTTTAGGAACTGCCAAACTATTTTCCAAAGCACCTGCAGAATTGCTAGATCATACAGTTAACTTTATATTTGATCGTTTAGGAACTGCAAACTATTTTCCAAAGCACCCTCAGTTTGATGTAAAGTTTCTCTACAATCTCATCAGCATTTATTATTACCTATCTTTTTTTATTAGACATCCTAGGGGATATAAAGTGGTATATCACTGTGGTCTTGAGTTGCATTTTCCTAGTGGCTAATCATGTTAAGTATCTTTCATGTGTTATTTGGCCATTTATATATCTTCTCTGTGGAAATGCCTATACAGATTCTTTGTCCATTTTTAATTAGGTTGTTTAACCTTTTATTACAGAGTTGAAAGAGTTCTTTGTATATTCTGGATATAAGTCCTTATCAGATGTATGATTTGCAAATATTTTCTCCCATTCTATAGTTTGTCTTTTTAACTTTTTTTTAATTGCTCCCGAGACAAAAACATGTTCAATACTTTCTTGATTGTGTACTTTGAAGCACAAAGTTTTTATATTTTGATGTAATCCAATTTATTAGGTTTTTTTTTAATTGCTGGTCTTATCTGTTGGTGTTGTATCTAAAAAACCATTGTCAAACTCAAGGTTATGAATATTTGTGCTTTCTCCCAAGAGTTTTATAGTTTTAACTCTTATATTTAGTAATATCCATTTTGAGTTGTTATTATTATTATTATTATTATTATTATTATTATTTTGCGTAGTATTGCGGTAGGAGTCCTGTTCCATTCTTTTGCATATGGATATCCAGTTGTTCCCCAAACCATTTGTTGGAAAGACTGTTAGGTTCCAATACTAATTTCTCAGATGTTTACTGGGTGTTCTATCATTCAGTTCAATATGACACTATCTGGATTTAGCATCAGATCCTAGAAATTGAAGAGTAAGGTCCCCAATGACTGCCCTTACTTCAGAAGGTAACTGCAATGAACACTTCTGTCAGACAGAATTGGCCACAAATTTGGGAGTTCTCACAACACTCCCTCAGCTTCAGTAATTCCCTAGCATGACTCATAGAACTTATAAAACTGCTATATTTTTATTATAAAGGATTCAAATGAATAGCCCAGATGAAGATATACATAGGATAAGTCTAGTCAGGTCTTGAGTACAAGAGTTTCTGTTTTTGTGGAGTCAGGGTATATGACCCTCCCATATATCGGTATGTTCACCAACCAGGAAGCTCTTTGAGACTCATTGTTTAGAGCTCCTCTTGAGGTTTCATTACATAGGCACGATTGATTAAATCATTAACCTTTGATTAAACTCAGTCTTCAACCTCTCTCCTCTCCTCAGAGTTTGGGGTAGTAACGTTCTGGAAAGTTCCAGTCCTCAAATCACATGATTGCTTTTTTTCACAACCTCTCCCATCCAGAAGCTATCTAGGGGCACAGTTAGAGGAGTGAAGTCATAGCATAACAAAGGCATGCCTATTGTTCAGAGAAATCCAAACGTTTTTGAATCTCTGTGCTGGGAATCAGGAGCAAAGACCAGATTTATTTTCTTTCTCTCTGTTCCTTTCCGTGTTTCTGTGTTTCTGTCTTTCTTTCTTCCTTCCTTTCCTTCCATCCCTTCCTCCCTTCTTACCTTCTTTCCTCCCTCGCTTCCTTTCCTTCCTTTTTCTTTGTCTCCCTTTACCCTTCCTCCCCTCCTTCCATAATTGTCCCTTCCTCCATTGTCTTGCAAAGAGTGTCAAAAACCAAATGACCATAAATGTCAGGGTTTATTTCTGTACTCTCAATTTCATGCCATTCATTGATTTATATTTTTATCCTTATGTCAGTACGACACTGTCTTGATTGCTATAGCTTTGCCCTAAGTTTTGAAGTTAGGAACTTTGCATTCCCCAGCTTTTTTCTTCTTTCTCAAGATTGTTTTAGCTATACTGGTTCCCTTGATTTCCATATGAATTTTAGGATCAGCTTGTCAGTTTCTACCAAAAAAGCCATCTAAAATACTGCTGGAGGTTGTGTTGAATCTATAGGTCATTTTGGGAAGTCTTTTCATTTAAGAACATCAAGTTTTCTGATCCATGAATGTGGCATGTCTTTCCATCTTCTTAGATATTATTTTGTTTCAATGGTATTTTAGTTTTAAATGTAAAAGACTTCCACTTCTGTTACTAAGTTTACATTTAAGTATTTTCTTTTTTTTTAAGATTTTGTTTATTTATTCATAGAGACACACACACACACAGAGAGAGAGAGAGAGAGAGAGAGAGAGAGAGAGAGAGAGAGAGAGGCAGAGACACAGGCAGAGGGAGAAGGAGGCTCCATTCAGGAAGCCCAACGTGGGACTGGATCCCGGGTCTCCAGGATCACACCCCAGGCTGCAGGGGGTGCTAAACCACTGCGCCACCAGGGCTGCCCTATTTTGTTTTTTTTTTTTTTTTCTATGCTATTGTAAATAGAATTGTTTTATTAATTTTATTTTTAAAATTGCCATTGCTAGTATACAGAAATTTGATTGATTTTTATGTACTAATAAAGTATCCTACAACCCTACTGAACTATTTTTAGTTCTAATAGTGTGTTTAGTGAATTTGTTTGGATTTTCAAATAAAAATAATGTTATCTACAAATAGATGGTTTTACTTCTTCCTTTTCAATCTGGATCTTTTTTATTTCTTTTTCTTTATTAACAAACCTGGCTGTAATTTCTAGTACAATACTGAATAGAAGTGGTATGAGTAGACATCCTTGTTTTATTCCAAGATCTGGGGTAAAGCAGTCAGTCTTTTACAATTAAGTATAATAGTTACAGTTTGTGTTTGTATTTTTGGAGATGCTCTGTATTAAGGAAGTTTTCTTGTTTTGCTTATTTGTTGAGTGTTTTTATCATGAAAAGGTGTTGGGTTTTTGTCAAATGTTATTCACGTCTATCGAATAATTGCATTATTTTATATTTTATTAATATAGTATGCTCCATTTTTTGATATTTAGATGTTACACCAATTTTATATTTCTATGATAAATCCGAGCAGGTCTTTCTTGGTATATAATCTTTTTTTATTGTTCTATATACTTTAAAAGAACTTAGGTACTCTAGAAGTCACCCAAAATTATTGAGACTTTTAAAAATGAAAAGTCTTAAAATAATAATCCAAATTATGCAAGTAGTCTGGTTCTAAATCACCTCCAAACCTCTGGTTATAGTATGTTAGACCAATATTCTAGAAGTAGAATTCTGTTTTCCTTAAAGTACTTTCTTAAGTCTTTTTAAAGTAGTGACCACATAATCCAGTTGATGACACAGGTAACTCCACCATCCTAGAGCAGAAAATATATGTAGTTTATATTTATACAATTTAAGAATCGTGTTGCAATGTCACAAGAATCAATAATAAATGTTTAAACATTTTTAAATGATAGAACTAAACACTTTGGGGATCCCTGGGTGGCGCAGTGGTTTAGCGCCTGCCTTTGACCCAGGGCGCGATCCTGGAGACCTGGGATTGAATCCCATGTCGGGCTCCCAGTGCATGGAGCCTGCTTCTCCCTCTGCCTATGTCTCTGCCTCTCTCTCTCTCTCTCTCTCTCTCTCTCTCTCTCTGTGACTATCATAAATAAATAAAAATTTTAAAAAAAAGTTTTAAAAAAAAGAACTAAACACTTTGGGAGCTAAAGCTTAAAAAGGTCGAATAGGTGATGAATTTATCCTTATAAAAATTATTCTACATCTATAAGTAAATGAAAAAAATATGATAAAATAGTGATATGTATTAATTTTGGGGAGATTTTTGGAAAATAAGGCTTATCTATGTAAGAGGTTAAATAAATCTCCCAAGACATAGCTCTTCTGTCATAGGGCTGATGATTAAATCCTGGTCTTTGGTGCTGGGTGACTCAGTCAGTTAAGCCTCAAACTCCTGATGTGAGCTTAGGTCATGACCTCAGGGTTGTGAGATGGAGTCCTGAATCAGGCTCTGCACTAGGCATAGGGCCTGCTTAAGAATCTCTTTCTTTCTCTGCCTCTCCCCCTTCCCTCTCTAAAAACAAAACAAAAGAAAACAACCCTCCAATAACAGACCTGGTCTTTATGACACTGGAGTATGAATGTGAAAGAACAACTGGGTATAAATAAATAATGTGTTTCTGCTTTTATTTTGCTGTTTTTATTCATAATGTTTTTTACATAGAAATTATAGAATGAGTTTGTAAACTTTTATTATTTTTTTTTAAGATTTTATTTATTCATGAGACACACAGAAAGAGGCAGAGACATAGGCAGAGGGAGAGGGAGAAGCAGGCTCCCTGCAGGGAGCCGGGTGCAAGGACTCAATCCCGGTACTCCAGGATCAATCCTGGTACTCCAGGATCATGCCCTGAGCTGAAGGGAGATGGTGCTTAACCACTGAGCCACCCAGGCATCGCTGTAAACGTTTATTCTGATACAATTTATTGTCCTAATGTAACATAGCACTGTGCCCTAATAAGTAATAGTCTGTATTTAATAAATCTTAGTCCCCATTTGGATGTTTTCCATAAAGTTCTGTAGCTGAAGTAATGTTGCCTTATACATATATTTTAAGTTAACCATCAAGGAATATAAAGAAGTTTACAATTGTTTTTCTCTTTAAAACGAGGCTCAGGGTTACATATTCATACATGTGCTTGCATAAAAGAATTAATAATACAAAGATTTTTAAAAGCAATTTAATTGATACACCTCCAAAATAACTGGTCCACATTTTTATATTTCAACTGTTATTATCTTACCTATCATTTACAAAATTTATTTTTTAGTTGTTCTTCCATTATTCATTCATCAACCACTAACTTATGTTGTCTTATGTTGCTGTGTGGCTGTGCATCTTATCTAGAAAAAATTATTATGATGAAATTATTTAATATTTCTTCCAAAGTTTTGTCATAGAAACTTCGTTTAACTCTATGATGCTTGATTTTTTCACCTATTTTAGGAATTACTTTGATTTCTAACTACTTTTCTTTCCTGTATTTTTTTCAGCTTTACAAGAAATAGATAACATCAAGGACATCGGGAGTGGGAGAGATTGGACAGGGAGACTCAGCAGGTCAGGACATTTGTGTTATCATTTGCTGATCATTCTTTTGCCATCAATCCTAGAGTTCTCAAGTCTCTTGCCACTTGTTTATTTCTTGGACATGCTTATTTGGTATGTTCTCAGTTTTGCAAATCATGACTAATGACTTCATATACAAAGTCTAGCATTTGAGTATCCTTTTTTTAGGATTTGAAGATTAAAACAGAATTTAAATGAATTTTCAAGAATAGAAGAAAATTTTTTACCTAATAAGTTATATAAATACCTTGATTTCTACTATTCTTACATAAATTGTTTTGAATGATGATTTCTTGATTACTTTTCCAGAATCAAAACTTTAAACATATAAAATATTATTGATTATAGTAATATTTAGTAATGGTTATAACACTTGGGTCATGAAGGTTGTTTCCTTTCTTTACTGTTCTATTCTCTGGGCTTGGATCCACCCTAAAAGCTCTGGACACTTTAGAGTCCATCTGTTTGCTTACACTAATCTTAACTACTGAATGTTGACTACTACGTGTAAAATGAAGGTTAATTAAAATACAATTTCTAATGGAAAGATCCAAGCAGTCACAGGGTCTACTATAAACATTTGTCACCATTGTGGAATGTGTCACATTCCTCAGTAAGCTGGAACCATGCTGGCCTTTGGGGTGTCCTTTGCCCTGAGTGTCCCCATATGTTACTAATGGTTTCATGTTCACTTCCTGCTTCAGAGAAGTCTCACAGTTGTCTTAAACAGTGATTACATCTCTGAGCACAATTGTTTAGCTATTTATAGAAGCTTGGGAATCATTTACCTCTGTGTCATGCCTATCACTTCCACAATTCTTCTGGAATTTAACTTAACTCCTCTGCATACCAACTTCTATTGGGTTTTTCAGTGTTCATCACAGAGAGGGATAAATGCTTTTGTACTTCAGTCTGATCACATCTCTTCTAGTAAAAAGGCTTTTTCAGAAAGGAGCTAAACTTAAAGTTCTTCTGCCTGGATGATTCAGGGATTTAGTTATTTCCTAGCATTAGCATTAGAGACCAGACAGATTGTTATTTTTATGTATTGAGAGAACACTAGTCTCCAGCTTAAAGGAGATATAATTTCAAGTATATTTTGATGCAATGCATCTGCTCAAGTCTCTGTTCTTAACTAAATGAGGTAAGATTCCCTCAAAAATATGTATTTAGAATGATATGCTTAAGTGATTGGGCTTTTAAGTATAACTCCACTGATTCTTGCAGCTTTGAGATTTCCTTTGGGCAATACTCTCATGGTTTTCTGGTGATAAACAATTCCACATTGTCAGTTGACAAATATTATTAAACTAAACATTAAAAAGAAATAAACTGAAGCCAAAAGTGGTAGGTTTTCTTGACATCCCGCTGAAATGTAAGTATTGACCTTTAATTTAATATACTTGTTGAGTTTCGTATGTTTGGAAGCAAAATAAAAAAGCAGGGGACAAACATCTCATAGATCCCATAGTCTTGGGAGATAGAATCTAATCCAATCTACATACTTTACAAACCTAAATTGCTACCCAGTGTGACATGAAATACTAACAGAGGTGAATCTGTGTTTCTTGACATGGTGCAGGCCTAATGCATTATGCTGACTTAGAGATTATGGAATACAAACAATTCTGCACACAACATTGTGCACACATTTAAAAAATATCATCATCTGCCATGTCCACCAATTTACAATCTATGGAAAATACAATTGATACTAATACTTGACTTTGGATTGTACTGATATTTGAATAAATTGAGAACTTTAAGCTTTTCTTTTCTTTTTTTTTTTAACTGTTGTTTCTCTGGAGAAGTTTCCCATTTGGCTGGATGAAATGGAAAGATGATTATTCATTCATTCTTTCATTCATGCAACAGAAGTTCTTATGTTCCTAAAGCTTTAATTCTAGAGGAGGAGAACATAAAGTGAAAATTTAAATATATAGTTGACCCTTGAAAAATGTAGGGGCTTAGGGTGCTAAATTTCATTCAGTTGAAAATCTGCATATAACTTTTGACTCCTTGAAAACTTAACTAATAGTCTACTATTGACTAGAAACCTTACCAGTACCATAAATAGTCCATTAACACATATTTTGTATGTTACATGTATTATATTCTTATAATAAAGTCAGCTAGAGGAGAGGAAATGTTATTAAGAAAATCATAAGAAAAATACATTTATAGTACTGTATTGTAAAAATTCCATGTATAAGCGGACTCATGCAATTCAAACCCATGTTGTTCAAGAGTCAATGGTGTATGTTAATGGAGATACATACTAAGAAGTAAATAAAACAGAGTAAATAGAGAATGATGGGAGACTTTTTCAGATAATATTCTGAATTTCAGATATTATTCAGATACTATGTCTGAGGAAGGTGTTTCTGCTAAGGAGAAAATGAAGCACAAACCTAAGTGGAGAAAGGGAACCATTCAGATATAAATGGGTGAAGAGACACTCCTTATACTTGGTATGTTGAAAGATTGTCAAGAAAGGCAATATAGTAGGAAAAGATTAAGGAATGGACAAGTAAAAGATGACAATGGGAAGAATGATGTGGTGTCTATCACAGAGAGCCTAGTAGATCACAGTGGGACCTTGAATATCATTCTGAGTGAGATGGGATTCACCAAAGGGATTTTAGGGACATCATATGGCTCACATGTTTTAAGAATCACTCAGACTTACAGGGTATGTAAAGCATTTAAAAAATTTCTCTTTGGATACAGAATATAAATTATGAGTGAAAATAGACTTAAATTAACAACAATCAGGGCAACATTATCTGATCAGGATATTGACTGATGATTGTGTTTTAGGAGCTAATGTTAAATAGTGTAGCTCTCATTTTTCTCTTCCATGTCCTTAATTTGCATAATTCTTTTGAATTTGAATCATGTTCTTTGGCAGTGTATAATAACTTATTGTTTTATAATAGGGACATTAATGACAATGATATGTAATATTTAAAAATTATGTACATCTGATTCTTGTTGTGCATGCTGATTTTCCCATTTGTTTGTCATTTATAATTTCAACCAAAACTACATAGCCTTGTGTAATTCCATAAACAAGTCATGAATTTTATCTTCCATTTGTAAGGGAAGATGCTTGATATAATGTCATAGTTTTATTACAATTATCACATGATCTGTTAGACTATTTATGATGAGGGGAAATGGAGTATTTAAAAAAAAAAAACTTGTAGGATTTAGAGGGCACAAATTCTGGAACCAGCTTTGAAACTTACCAGCTGACTTGGGGTCTTTAACGTGTTTGCCTAGAAGTGATCAACATTTATGTTATCTCTGTAGTTCCTTTACATTTGTTGACTCAGTGTGCACATACTACATGGTAAAAAAAAATTGGTTGAATTAAGAGTCACCTACAGTAGAAGTGACCATGTTTAATATAAATGAGAAAATAAGATTATTTCATATAAATAACAGGAAAATCTCCATATTTATTTTGGTAAAAATTATCAGAGAAGATATTATTGATAGTTGGAAGGAAGAGTCATTTCTAAAATTATCATGATTATCATGTGAAAGAATCAAAGTCGGTATGAGAAAAATAATTTAAGGGTTGCCTTATGTTATCAGTCTTGTGGCAGCAGTTTCCAATTGCCAAATGATAGTTTACCATAAAATTTTCAAACCTTTAAATCAATATATTAATAAAGTATTTTAAAACTATAACTAAGGTTATAGCTAAGCTTAAATTTCCATTATTCGGCTATCAGAATATGCATGCAACAAAATATAGAGAGACACATATGTGTCTATATATTTGAAAATTTTTATTTATTCTAAATTCTTTTATTTTAATTATAAGAATTATAAGAATCCTTTTTATGATTAAATGAGAAATAAAGAAATTATTCTTTGAATTATGAAATTTTTTGAAGTATCAAAAATTGTTAGGAATCCATTCATTCAATTGTTCGTTCTTTCATTCATTCATATATTCTTACTGAGTCTTAACCTGTGGCAGGCATTCTTTTATTTATATTGCCTGACTTTTTCCCCTTCCTATACTTGACTTGAATTTCACTGGTTGAACTGAGCATATTATTCTCTGTCAGTTCCAGGAAAAAGGCTGATTTAGATCTTGTCTTTCTGGTGGCATCCATGCCTTCCACAACTCAGACCGGGTACTCAAGTGGGTTGGAGTAACTATAAAAGGAAGTGAGGGAGAATGTTGATTTTACTTGTCCAATAACAGGAAATACATTCATTGTGCTGATTCCCTGTGGACATGTGGAGTAAAATATTTAACTCACGAATGATTTAAATCATCCTCCTTAACGGTAGTTAAATACACTGATGCTATAGAGATCTGACAAACATAACTATTATCATAGGACTACTGAGAAGTTTTTGGACAGAAGTGCCAGTTAGAGGAGGGGAGCCCTCTCCCTGAATGCTCAATGAGTGCTTGCCTGGGGTGTCCCCAGGAACAGGAGCTGACACAGGTGTTCAGCACAGTTGCTTACTGCTTCCCATCAAGAAGGATGGGGGGTTCTTAGCACTGCTGGCTTGTGGCACTCAGTGTATTTGGCAAGCAGTCAGCCCTGGCTGTGGATTTCCCTGGGGAAAATAAAAGCCACAGGAGAGTCATCAGTGTGACCTTCTGCTGGGTAGTTGGCACACAGTTGCACCACAGGAAGGCTTTCAGTTGTCATTTTCTGAACGGGGAGATATCAGGTGCTGATGGAGGCTCCCCATTCAAGGTGGGAAGTGTAGAAGGAAAAAAAAATATTGAGCAGAAGCTTACCAAATAATTCCCAGTTATGAAGCTTAACACCAGCTGATCTTCTGATAAAAGGGATTTTTTTGGGGGGTGAGGGAAGGGAGGAGAGGGAGTTTCTTTGGTTCTGTAAGCACAATTATAAGCTTTCCTATTTAAGTCTGACCCATCATATTGAAATGCTGTCACTAGTATCATTAGCAAGTAAAGTGTTGATAACATAGTCAAATGCACAGCAGAG